ACAGCCGCGCTAAAACCGCACGTCTTCCGAAGCCGACCAGCGCACGTCTTTCCGAAACTGACGAGGCGTCGCGCACGTCCTGTCAGAGGACGGGTGTCAGCACGCACCTTCTCGAAACTGACAGGGTGTCGGCACACGTCTCCTCGCAATAAAAGCATCTGCAGCACAACTCCCGAACGACTACCGTCACGTCTCCCAAACGCGTGCCCTTTTTTGAAAATCAAATTAAAGCGAGCGTCCTCAGTACGGACCAAAACCCTCCTGCTACCTTACGAACTCCCCGCGCCAAGACAGGACCCTTGTCGCAGGGAGTGGGGGGCAATTGATGAAGGGGAATTTGGCCCGACCTCGCGATCACCCGACACGTGGCAAAAGCAAGCAACTCGGGACAGTAGAGCGCCCGAAACGAGAACCGAAAGTAAGTCCAAGCTCACTACTGAGCCCGAACTCCACCAGACCGCTCTAATAGGAGCTCGAGCTCCCTACCAGGAGTCCGAGCTCCCTACTGAGAACCCAAGCTTCCTGCAAGGAGCACGAATTATATTGGGTCCCAAGCCTCACAAAGCTATGACCCGAGCTGGCCCATGGCAGCTCGGAACACTCCCCAAACCGAACTCAAGACATCTCGCTCGCCACTCCAACACTTCGCTTCCGAAACACCAGGCTGACCAAACGTACCTGACACCAAAGACGTCCGTATCCAAGGGCGACGCACCTGACCGATTTGGGATCTGACGCCTGACAGCCGCATTTCAAACGGCCTCCTGCTACCGCCTTTGCCACCGTCGTTACTAGCCGCAGAGACGGCTCCGACAAAAAGAGCAGTGGCGGTTCTGTCCGGCCAGAGGAAATGACATTCGAACTGGTAGGAGCTCAGAAATAATCATGCCCGATTTGACGGAAGCCTGGAAGTGAGTGCGCGAGGTGGTTATAAAAGGCTCCTACCCCCCAGGAACGAGGTATGCTAATTTTTGCGCTATCTGGTCTATCTTGCCTTTGAAAGACTCTAACTTGAGCTTCGGAGCCCTTACGCCGGGTTCTCCCCAGAGTTTCTCTTCTCCCTCCGTTTCAGGTCCCTGCCACTCAGTTCAGAGACAAGATCGTTGACAGCTAAGATCGGTCGGATTGTGCATCATCAGTTTTAATTATATATGTAATAATAAATAATTTTTATATGTATAATTATATATAATTTTTTATATGTAAAATATTTTAATTTTTATATGATGCTTGGCTCATTGTAGAGTTAGAGCTGAGCAGAGATTAAACATGTTAGTAATTGAGTTGAGTTGAAAGTCTTCAAGCTAATCTTGAATTCAAACACCAAGTTCAAATAACCAGATATTTGATTCAGCTCAATTTGAATCCATCCCTACATATAAGATTTATCCATGCAACCACAAATGGGTCTCTGTATACTCTATTTATAGATGAATGCAAGGACTAGTTGTGAAAACTAAAGCTCTATAGCTGAATACAAGTTGAGTGGCCAAAGGACTAGCTAGATAAAGCTTTGCATTCATCTATAAATAGACGAGTGCAATTTGAGTGGCCATTATTAGATGAACTTTGCATTCATATCTATAAAACTTGGGCTAGTTTGGCTTGGATCGGTTCAGGCTTATTTGGTAACTGGAGCTACCTTATCCAAAAAATAGCAGAGCCTTAGTCTCTGTTTGGGAAGAGTGTAAATGTAAATATGTAGAATACATTCTGGTTCATATAAATGTAAAGTTGATTTAGTTTTGTAGTGATAAATTTACTTTCTTGCCAAACGAATTTTAGTTGTACTGAATGTAAAAATGAATCCCAATGCAGAAATATGCCTTTTTAATATTCGATCAATCTAGAGGGCAAATGTACATTTTGATGTAAAATTTCATCTCATTTTAGATGCAGGCATGCCTTGAAAACTGTGTTTTCTGTCATTGCTGTATTCTTGCCAAACACTAGTAAAACTGAACCCGCACCGATACGAACCAAAAGCTCTATAAGTGTGCAATTTGGGCGGATCGGGTTGGGCTTTTGTGAAAGTTTAATGAGCCAGGCTTGAAGACTGAGAGAGCAAAGCAGTGTAAAATAACTCGCACCAACACGACAACCCGAGTTGCACCTGCTCAATTGTTTAAAAATTCAGGGGGTGAAGACCAAGAAATTGTTCTAGAGACATTATAAGTATGCTTCGCCAGTTAATGGGCCGTCATATGAGAGATGATGATATAAGGGTTAATGTGAAGAGTCCTGCAATCGGTGATGATTGTGTGAATTCGCCACGGAGCTTCAATCTCAGGACTCAGGAGGTTTGTGATCTTTTGAGTGTTCCCCTTGGAGAACAAAGTGAGTGATCTTCAAATCCAATGAGCAAAAACAAACTCTCCTCTATGGTCTCGGGAAATGATGCCAATCGACTGCCCCATCTACATTAGTTTGGCTCGGTTTGGCAATACGGTATTACGGTAATACCATTACCAACCATCGGTAGATTATGCTAAACCATGTTCGGGCTTAGAATGGGCCATTAGGTCTATCAATGGACCAGATATTGGTGCATCCAGATCCGGTCCAATATGAGTCTATTACAGATACCGAAATTGTTTTGGACTGGACTGATCCAATTCAATGCCTTATTGGATCATCCAATCTGTTCAAATTGAATTTAATTCAAATTATATCCAACTTAAGCCTGATTCATTAACACTCCTATTCTTATCTTTCTCTTAATGGACCGTTTTTTTGGCTGTTGCCCCCGGTCTCGGGGTGCGACTTTCAGAAGCAAATTTTCCAAGCCCCCACCAGAACGTGATGTACATTCTCCATTTAAGATTTGTTCTTGATCTCTCCGTATGCCTATTTAATCATTCTGGGACTTTATTTAATAAGGTAGATTGTGGAATATTATCGTAAAACGCTTTGGAATTTTCTAAAGCCAAGAGCTTTGGACCATTCCTCTCATTTCTTTTGCTTTTCCTCCTTTGGTCATAAAAATAAAGTTACACGCTTATCGCATGTAATGGCCCTTTTGTAAATAGGAATAGAGAAGTTTTTCTTTTTAATACATTTTTTTTTAACTGAGCCGAGAATTAAGGTTAAGTTTTCTTTCTTTAAACCTATACTTTATGTGATTTTATTTATAATTTTTTTTTTTGCGTATCATATGTATATATATATATATATTTGAGAATAAATAATTATACTAAATAATGTGGTATTATGTACTATTTAGTGATTTGGGCACACCCCTAACCATGAGACAAGAAAATGCAGTTTTAGTTTGAAAAGACAAAAGCAACAACATATTTAGACCCTTATAATCAAGTTTTCAAATCGTTATTGAACCAGATGGTCAGACCATTCGGTCCTGAAATCGTTCAAGCAATCGATACGGTTTAACCCTCTTTTTGGAGTTCAGATTAGCTGAAAGCTTTAGCGGTTCATTGGACTGTGGAACCAATAATGAGGTTCCACGCCAGTAATAAATTCATGGGCCCCATGTATTTAATTCTGGCATGGGACTTTATCATTGGTTCCACAGCCTGCTGAACAGCTAAACCTTGCTCTATTCTTTGGCCAAAAACCGTTGACTTGGTCAGTAATCAACTGACTTGGGTGGTCAAATTGTTAATCCATTTAATGATTTTTGGCCATTTTTTTTTCAATTGGAATGAATCATCTGTTCGAATCGGATGATCAAACCATTGACCCAAAAACCAATGGCTAAAATGGTTCGGATTCTATGTCGATTTTTAAAACCTTGCTTATAATTACAAAATACAAAGAATGGTTTATTTATCTTTTTCACATAGGGATGTTTTTGATTTATGAAGAAGAGGAAGTGCCCAAATTAGTCCTCTTTACTTGAAGGAAAAAGGGGGAAATATCAAGAAGAAGATTAAAATTATACTACTAATTGAATAGGCAAAAATTTCCTTGAGACATGAAGATCTGACAATGCTATTTGAAAAGCCAATGACCTTTTTAATTGCAGCGTTTGAAGCAAGCAACTGTTTCTCCCAGTCTTTCATTCTTTTCGTCACTGCTGTTTCTTTTTCTTTGCATATTCAGATGTGTGTCAGGAAAAACCAGACTATGACTGGCCGGGTGCTGGCAGCCAAATTGGTTCAAAGAATTCTCAATTGCTTTAGGGTCGCTGTTTTTTTAATGTAGAGTTACTCCACAAGATAATCTGAAATCATTTATTGTTTTGATATAATAAAAAAATATGATTTATTTGATCAAATTGAACGATGAAATTCAACGGTTAGATCGGGGTGGTCATCATCCAAAACGGTTTTTGAAGTCTCACGAATGGGATCTGCTCCTCATACAGGGCATCTCCCGTAAATAATACTGTGTTAGAAGCAGGGCCGGTCACCCACGAGTGATGCAGTGGGTGTAGGTAGGCAATTGTAGTCACAAGTAAGGAATAAGCGAGAGTAAAGTGATGAAGTGTTTTTCCAACTTTCGGCATCTCATCATTCGCCGTGCCGGTAACTTTTTCAACGTGTGATTATGCCCTTTTCAGGTAATCAAATATGCATACATCCAAAACGTTGAACCTGTGGGAACTGGAGAAAATAAAAAAGGAAACTACTAAACGATATCAATTTAAATTCTGATAAAAGGGAAAAAAAAGAATGAAAGAAAGAAAAGGGTCGAGCAAGGCTGCTGTGTGGAGATAGACAACCGTAGACGATAGGGACTATCTGGGCAATATATGCTGCGAAGTGCGAACAGACGAGACAGATTGAGATAGATCAACTTGGGGCTTGGGCTTGGGTCCGGCGCTAGCTCGAGCCTCGAGAGACGAGGGCAAATGCTTTCGAACTGTAAAGAGTATAGATTGAGGGGGCCCAGCAAATGGTGGGCCTAAATTCCTTATCCACACAGCTTTAGAGTGAAACCACGTTGGAAGCAAAGAAGTTGATACAAATAAGCCAACGCTTTATTCCAAAATTTTGTGGCTATATAAGCAGCCCATTTGACAAGACCTGAAACCACCACACCCAAAACAAGACTCATTTATCTCCTTCTATCCTTCTTTACTGCTGTGATCTTTCGTTCTCCATTCTTTCATTTTTCATAAAAAAAAATGTCAACCACCACTCCGCTCCACGCAGCAGCTCCAAAGATCACTTCCCTGTCTGCCCAACTGCCGAGGGGCGAGCGGAATCTGTTCTCGACATCGGACGACAATGCGATGATGAAGCAAATACTGGGCACCCATGCTCACGATGGTCGAGAGGTTGATGTCAAACCTCTCCTCCAAATCGTCGAGGACATCTTTCATCGTTCACCACCCACCGCCACTACCACCACTAATGTCGTAGACGGCATCGTCCAACATGTATGTATCTGCTCTACTCTCCCTCCTCGCTTCTCCCACCATCCATCTGTTTGATGATTTGATTACAATACAGAGATTATATTATCTGCCATGACCAATGAGATTGCATTGTTTGTAGGTTGTTGCGGCTGATACGCACACCCACATTGATGCATTGGTGGACAAGACCCACCACCTTGGCTTCGCCGGCATGCTCGAAGCATTGGCGTACACCATACATAAGATTTCCTGCGAGGTTAGCATTGAATACATTTGATCGATCGATGGATTGGTTAATAAATAAGTAAAATATTTTCTGGGTGGTACTAATGAAATGAAGAATATGAATGAATGAATGTAACAGCTATCGTACAAGTGCTCCGGTGGAACTGATGCACATGCGACAGCGCTAGCCATATTCAGCACACTGGCAAGTTACTCATGGGACGCAAAGGTGGTTCTCTCATTAGCAGCATTCGCAGTTAACTATGGGGAGTTCTGGCTGGTGGCTCAGCTTTACCCCACAAACCCGCTGGCCAAGTCGATTGCTCTCCTTAAGCAACTCCCTGATATATTGGAGCACTCGGAGCTTTTAAAACCCCGGTTCGAGGGGCTTAGGAACCTCATCAACGCCATGCTGGACTTAACCAAGTGCTTGATCGAGTTCAAGGAGCTACCTACCCAGTACATCTCCACCGACACACCGCCCATGGCCGTCGCTATGAGCCTTATACCCACCGCTGCTTATTGGACGGTCAGAGGTGTTGTGGCCAGCGCAACCCAGATCAATGGCCTCATTGGCTTGGGTCATGAGTATGTTTTATAATATATATATATATATATATATATATATATATACATACATGCAATGCCCATATTAACTTAGCTCATCACCCCTTTCAATATTAACTTCGTTCCTCAATTAATAAATTTGCCAATGCAGGGCTTCCTTCATTTTCCCCACTAGCTACTTAATTAATTCTGGTTTCTGGACTTCAATTTAGGTACATACCATCGACAGCTGAGGCTTGGGAGTTGTCCAGCTTGGCCCACAAGATCAACAACATAAAAGAACATTTCAGGAAGCAACTCCACTTTTGCTACCAACACATAGGTGATTACATCCTACTACGTGCTATATATGAAGACAATATGCCTTCTGGTGTTTTGTTTTACTAATTAAGCATGTAATAAAATCATGATTGTATATATAATATGATGGTGCAGATGAGAAGAGACACATCGAAGCTTTTCAGACGCTTGTTCGCCTGTTCGAGACACCCCACATTGACAACATGAAAATACTCAGAGCGCTCATTTACTCCAAAGATGATATGCAACCAATTTTTGATGGTACCACCAAGAAAAAGGTCTCCCTCTCTCTCTCTCTCTCTCTCTAAACCAGCCCATGAACTGTATATCAGTGACTGATCACATTTCATGGCAAATTAAAATATATATATATATAATAGGTTGGCCTTGAGATTCTGAGGAGGAAGAATGTGCTACTGCTTATATCGGACCTTGATATTTCCCGCGACGAGCTTTCCATTCTGGAGACGGTGTACCTGGAATCCCGTCACCAACCATCCAGGCCAGAGAGCCAGTTCGAAATGGTTTGGCTTCCGGTGTTGGATAAGTCGGTCCCATGGAATGAAAGCAGCAGGCAAACCGACTTTGAGCGACTACAATCGATCATGCCTTGGTACTCTGTAAACCACCCCTCATTGATCGATCAGGCTGTCATCAGGTACATCAAGGAGGTGTGGCACTTCAGCAAGAAGCCTATCCTAGTGGCGTTGGATCCACAAGGTAGGGTTGTCTGCCCCAATGCCATCCACATGATATGGATCTGGGGAAGTTTGGCCTTCCCTTTCACCACCGCCAAGGAGGAAAGCTTGTGGAAGGAACAAACTTGGAGGCTTGATTTTGTGGTGGACGGGATTGATCCCACCATTCTCAATTGGGTAATATATTGAATCTTGTTTTTATTATATATCATAACTAAAATAAATAATTATCTGATCGCTATATTTGATTTACTTCCTCAGGTAGCGGAAGGGCGATACGTATGTTTGTATGGAGGGGAGGATCTGGAATGGATTGAGAAATTTGTGACAGCAGCACGATACGTTGCACAAGAAGAAAATATTCCCTTAGAGTTCGTGTACGTGGGGAAGAGCAAGCCAAGGCTACCATTGTCGAGGATAATTGATTTCATCAAGGCGAAAAATCTCGGTAACTATTGGACAGAACGTACACTGATCTGGTTCTTCTGGGCACGGTTGCAGAGCATGTATTACTCAAAGACACAGTTGCCCAGCAAGACCACCACCGACAATGACAACAAGATACAACAACATCTGCCCAGCAGCAAGACCTCCGAAAGTGACCACGTAATGCACGAGATCATGAACATGCTGAGCTTCGACAGCAGCGACCAAGGATGGGCAATAATCAGTAGGGGCACGGCGGAGATGAGCAGATCTAAAGGCGACCAAATTTATTCCTCCATCTCACAGTACAACGACTGGAAGGTGCACATCCCAACCAAAGGCGGGGTAATACCGGCGCTCAATGATCATCTCCATAGCCACCCAACGGAGCACCACTGCAATCGCCTCATCCTCCCGGGGACCGTCGGGAGAATCCCGGAGACGGTGCCTTGTTCCGAGTGCACCCGTCCCATGGAAAAGTACATCCTGTACCGTTGCTGCACCGACTGAAGTCACTGAACAGCCAATCCACAACATCTGGGGCTGGGCTTTTCCTCTGCCTTATTAAATAATATATGGATGGCTTGTGGCGATCGAGGACGAAGAGGGTCCATCCTATTCCTATTCCTAGGTTTTATTTTGGTGTGGTCTTTGATTAATATATTATGTATGTTATGTGGTTGAATGGTACGGTAGTGGTGGGCAATTAGCTCCACCTCTGCCTCTCGTAGCTTATTATTATATATTCATCGGATGTTTGCGTTATTTCATAGTCGGACCATGCTGTTTCTGTGTGCCTGACAATAATGATAATATGAAGCCCACGACTTTGTATTAATTGTTATATTATTTTTTTGGGTTCAACTATATGATATGGAAAAGATATGATATCCAATCAAGTATTATTTATCAAAATTTATGTGTGGGTTTTGATTGATTAGAACTGTTTGGATATCATGTCTTTTTTATATCATAGATTTTTTTTATTTTTTTATATAGTTGGTTCTAGGCTTATGTGGAATCAAATCTCGTTGCCAATATTTTAAGAAAAAGGCATTAGAGGGAAGTTATTAATGATGCATAACACTAAATACCCAAAAAAAAAACTTACTAATTGGGCCAGGCTTTAAAAATAATCAGCTCATGCCTGCATGGATAAGGTGTTCGACCAAGAGGAATTAGTTTAATTGATCATGTGAATCATGTATGTGTTTCTCTCTTTACTTATTTGCTTTTCTTTTTTTTTTCTCCTTTTCTTTTTCCTCTTTGTCAAGATGCATAGATTCCCTCCCTCTAGTCTTGACCATTTTTGTATTCTTGCCTTTTGTTTTCAAAACCGGTTGCTCTTCGAAGTATTCTTTGTATATGTTTGACATTGATGCTACAGATGCAGCACCGTTTTCTCTGTCGATGTATGGGTTGGAAGCATTGTTTTCTTGGTGCCTTTTTTTTTTGGAATCGTTGTTGTCAGGTAGAACGTTTCCTAGAGCAACAACATCTTTTTCTGTTTGGTACCAATGCTCCAAAAAACGTTTTCTGCATTTCTACTCATTATCCAGTGCCACATCATTGCCCTATTGGCATCAACAAGCTACAGCTCCAGGAAACACCAAATTTGTCGTTGATCCAAGCCATGCCTTCCCGATTTCTGAAGTGTGACTTGAAACACTGGCTTTTTATGGAAAAACGGTTCCAAACAAATGCTCGTTTCTTAGAGCACCGTTTTTTCCTACGTGGTGCTGATGTGGAGCCGTTTTCTAGAGCAACGACAACAGTTCCAAACAAATGCTTTATCTCTTTGATGGTAACAAGACACATGTGTACATCGCTAGCATGGTTATTTGGATAATCAGCTACGAATTGACTATTAATAGAAAAATGGAATCTATCTCTTTACAAACAATTGAATTAGATAATATATTTACTAACAAAATAGGGAAAATTCTATTGATTTTATTTTTTTTATCTCCAATCACTATTAATCTAAACTAAATTAGTATATAAACTAACTTAAATGCATATAGGTATAATTCATCTAAGGCCCGTTCGCATTTCGGTAAGTTACTTATCCGGGTAAATGCAATTACTTGGGTAAATTTTTCCTGGGAAACACTTATCCGGGTAAATGCATTTACCCATGTTCTTTTATTTCTCATATAAATAATGCAATGACCATTTTAGCCATAAAAATCAATTATTAAAAAGGGCATTTTTGTCCCATTCAAATGTTGGCAACTTTCCCCCTAGGTGGGAATTCCCACCTAGGGTCAATGGGAACCAAAATCCCATTGACTAACTTTCCCCCTCTCAAAATCCGAAAAAAGAACGCCCCCCAAGTGTTTTTTACTTCAATACAAACCACATTAACACAGCAAATCAAGCTACCCAAATTAAATAAACCTACCTAACCTAATGGGCCTCTGCAATGCACGAACTTTGTTAAATAAAATTCAAGTTGAAGGGCCTTTTTTTTAAGAGTCAGGAGAAAAAAAGGGAAAATGACCTTTGTGATATTTTCAAGGGTTTCTAGCCAATAAGGGCAACTTTTTACTCTTAATATTAATAAAAATGACATTTTTTTATACAATAACCAGAATGAGATAGCTTTTTTTGAAAAAAATATCAAATAAGGGCATTTGGATACTGTTGCTCATCTTACTCCTCTGTATTCATGCGAATGGAACTTTCACCAGAAACCCAAAGAGCGTTGACAAACGGACTCGTGAGAAACTCATGATTAAGTTGTAAAAGAGAATGAGAGAAGAGCCCCTTTGCCTGCCTTACTACTCACGTAACGCAAAGATTGTATTGAATGAGCTTCCGATCATTCTAAAATCCAACAAACTACCAAAAACACGATATCGGAAAAAGATTTTTTGTAGTTCATTGTCATTTGTATTGCAAAGGTTGTTGGAATCTTTGTCGGAAATACGAACTATCGTTCTTTTAGACTATGCACGTGAGAAAAACCTGGCGATTTATAATGTTCTTGTTTTCTCTCATAGTTCTTTAAAAGTTTCATTCGCCAAATACATAGACAAAGAAGGAAGACGAGCAACATTGCCCACTGCCCATTTGATTCCAAGCCAAGCATTATTTTCGTCTTATGTATTATTAAATAAATTAAACTTGTATTGTTTTACTATTAATGTTTATTAATTTTTGTTATGGTTAGGTAATTATTGTTAAAAGGAAAATTAGATGGTAGAGGGGATTAAAAGGAAATGTAAATCTTATGCCATTTGTCTAGGGAAAACATATTGGAAAAAATCTTAATATAAATGAATTATTCGCATTCAATTCTTATTAATTGAGATTGAAGGACAAGGAGCTTTAGAACATTAAATAATGTGCTAAATGGGTTTGATTCCAACTCAAACGTTATTTTTGGGTTATGTATTGTTATATAAATTTGTATTAAAAATAATTTAAATTAATGTAATTTTAATATCTAAAGGTTGCAGTGAGTGAGACCGTGGGCGGATGACCGTCGCCTTATATCTAAGCCGACGGTCTAAAGGCCTATTAGGCTGTTTGTTGTAATGGGGCCAAGTTTATATTTCAAGCTAAATGGGTTTGATTCCAATTCAAACATTATTTTTGGGTTATGTATTGTTATATAAATTTGTATTAAAAATAATTTAAATTAATATAATATTTATATCTAAAGGTGAATTAGAGAGTGGGCGGATGACCGTTGCCTTAGATCTAAGCCGACGGTCTAAAGGCCTATTAGACTGTTTCTTGTAATGGGGCCAAGCTTATATTTCAAGCTAAGGGTTCACACAGGGCCAGGCCTAGTTCTTCTCTCCAAGGTTCAAAGTGTCAATGCATTTTTTTTTTTTTAAGTTTTTTTAAGTAGTCCCTAGGGTTAGGGTTGGTTTAAACATTGTTTAATGTTTGAAACCATTAATTTTGGAAAAGCCTTAAATAAGGCATATTGGCCACATGTCAATACGATATGATACAGGTACAAGGTGTATCATGTCAAAATTTGGGAAATTTAAAGGTAGTTCAAATATATATATCTTAAAATTAATACTCCATGGGGTTGGTTTAAACGTTGTTAAATGTTTAAAACCACTAGTTTTGGAAAAAGCCTTAAAGAAAGGTGCATCGACCACTTGTCGATACGATACGATATACTCGTTATAGTGCATATTGTGTCAAAATTTTAAACCTTATATAGCCCCTATTATAGATCTATGCTTGGCTTGACCGATCAGTGATGATGATTTTTAAATGGGATTGAAAAGTTCAATAGAATATTAATATTAATAACTTTTTATTAATTTTAGTTACTTTAATGGAATTTAAATCGTTTTTTTCTTAAATCAACTTTAATTTTTATTAACTTTTATTAATAATTGTATATTTATTAGTTAATGTTAGATTTATTTTAGTCTTTATTGATTTATATTACTTATTCTTGTTAAATGGAATTTATAATTACAATTCAATAGTAAAGTTGATTTTTAAATTATGATTTACTTACTTCTAATTAAGTTGTAATTAAATGAAAATTTAAGCGGAATGTATCATTAAAATGGAATTCCATTTTACTAATTGTTAGGGAAATTTGTAGTAAGTGTATTGTTATGAGCTATTCAATTTTTTATTATTAAATAGAATTTAATTTTATTGTTTTTATTAAAATGGAAGTTCATTTTACTTATTGTTCTCAAGGCTCAGTTTGGAAGGAGTACAACAAATGCAAATTTGCAGAGTGTAAAACCTTGTATTTTGTATGTATTTGCACTCTATAAATTTACATCTGTACTGAGCCCAAATGTAATTTATAATCACAATTGATCGGTAAAGTGAATGTTTAAGATATTATCTAATTACACCTAATTTAATTTAATTATAACTACAATTGGAATCTTATATAAGTACTATTTCAATCTCGGACATAAATAGTATTTCTTCACTCTTTTTTTCTCATTTTTGACTCTTAATCCTGACTGTATTTTCATTTTCTCACCGTTTTTGTATGACATATTGCCAGCGACTTTTCTAGCAACTTTTTGACGTATTTCCGGGGCAAATGGGCTAGAAAGTAGAAACAGCCACTGAAGAAGTCGCCCCAGCGTCGGTTATTGTTGGAAACAAACACCACTCACGATCTTGCTTTGTTTCTTCTCCCATCGTCCCTCACTTCGCAATGTGATATTTTGAGACGTTGTGGGTTCAATTAAGTTATTGTTGCTCTGCTTCACGATCTTGCTTGTCACTTACCATTGTCCCTGTAAATGAACCCCACTTGTCATCGTCTTGTGTAAATGAACCCCGTTTATGATCTTGCTTTGTATATTCCCATCGTCCCTTACTTCCCAAGGTGATATTTGAGACATTGTATCGTGGATTCAACAAAGTTGATGTTTCTGTGGGTGATTATTTGTGTTTTAGTACTTTATACCATTAATTTTTCGATTCCTAATTCGCTTTATACCGTCGCTATTAAGCTTGAGCGTGGTGGTGTACCCTATGGTTTAATTAGCATTTCTGTTTGCATTGTTATCACTATTGTGCTTTAGTGTTTATTTAATATCGTTGTTGTGCTTTTTGGGTATCAGTCTATAAGTTTCTTATAATTTATTCCTTCCTTTTTTACTCTTCTTTTGTTTAATTTGTTCCTTGCTTTACCCTTTAGTTTCTTAAATTAATTAGTTAATTCCAGTAAGGAAGAATTATGGAAACATTTTATTCTTTAATTAATTAATTAATTAATTGTTCCTTTTGAATCTTTATTTTCTTGAATTAATGCACATAAAAAATCGTTGGTAGGGTAGGGGCATAAACATGAACTCCTTTTTTTTGTTTTTGTTCTATTATGTA